AAAAGGGGAGTTTTTGCCTCCCACAGGAACATCAGCTGCAGCTCCCCCCTGGCTCCGAGACAGCCACAGGCGGGGCCTGGCAGCCAGCTGCCCAACGCTCTGTGAGGGGAAGGACAGGCCGAACCCAGCATAAGTCAGGGGCAGAGCCAGACTGAGGTGTTGAGGGGATGTTACTTGAACTGTTTCTTTTTCACACCCCTTGGAGCACAGTTCCCCTCCCTCGGCACGGTGCCCACCTGGATCACCAGCAGGGCAAAATAGCTACCAGTTCCAGGAAACGGGAGTCAGGAAGCCGCTTCCAAAGCTGACCATCCCTTTTCATTCTTCTTTGCAGCACAAAAAGGATCAGCCAGCCCTCCGCACAGTTCCGCTGGCAGGCCAGAAGGCCGGTCATGGCCAACAGCTGGACAGGAGTCGTTCCAAAGGGCCAGGTGAGGTGGGAAACTTGCAATGTTCAAAGCAGCATTTCAGTATCGGTAGCGCACCGTCTGCATGCGGGCGCCCTCTCCTGCACTCCCAGTGTAAGTGCAGCGTGTGTCGCAGAGCAATGTGCTTCAATAAACCTGCACACCCGGCCTTGGGTCTATAAATAGCAGGTGCTCCATCGGAAACCACAAAAAGCAACTTTTCAATACTGCTCATGTAATGAGGCTAATGCCATAAGTCCTTGCTTGGTAGAACTACCGTCAGCTGCCTGTATGTCTCTGAAGAGCTGATGTACATCCCGGCACATCTCTACTCCTGTCTCGGGCCAAAGAGAAATAAGAACAAGCAGGAATAATTCCCTTTCACTTCCACCTGTTCATGCAGATCTCCAGCTCTTTACAAACCTGTATGGTGGGGGGAAAGCTACTGCAGGGTGAACCTCTCTTGTCTGGCACTCTCTGCTCCGGCAACATCTGTGGTCCGGCATGATTTGAGTTACAGCCCAGCCCCCCCCCTTTCCATGTCTTGGAAAACAGTCCCATTCCCAGCACTTCCCGTTTTCCTGGCACAGCCATCACATTCCAGGCACATCCCGTTTTCCCAGCACACCCACACTTGCTTTAAGTTAGGAGAAGAGAAAGCTGAATGCCACATTTGGGGTATGTCTAAACTGCATCCCTCTGTCAGCGGGGGGAGGCAGATTAGGCATGTTGACATTGCAAATGAGGCAGGGATTTAAATATTCCGTGCCTAATTTGCATAAAAATGGCTGCCCTGCTTTGCTGACTCAGCACTTTGTCAGCAAATACAGCAGTCTAGAGGGGGATCTGTCGAGAAAGAAAGCTTTTTTCGGTGGATTCCTCATGCCTCCTGCAAGGAGGTTTACAGGATCTGTTGAAAAAGGCTTTCTTTGTCGACAGATCCTCCTCTAGACTGCTGTTTTTTGCTGACAAAATACTGAATCGGCAAAACGCAGTGGCCATTTTTATGCAAATTAGGCATGGGATATTTAAAGCCCTGCCTCCTTTGCAATGTCGACCTGCCTAATCTGCATCCTTCTGCCTACAGAGGGATGCAGTCTAGACAGAACTTGGTGATCCTAGTGTCAAGTGACAGGGCCAGGGCCCAACAGGAGTGTGCATTCGCTTCAAGACAGAGTTGATTAGGGATAGATAGTTACTTTTATTAATCTCACTACAAGTACAAACTTAATACTGCCAAATGGTTACACAGCTACTACAAAATACAAATCTTGCTACATCACTACCTGTATAGGCTTAGTACTACCAGATACACAGCTACTACAAACTAATCCAAATAATTAGCATTGGCAAAGCAATGCATTTAAGTGAGTAACAGGCACTTGGAAATGCTTACACCCCTTCAAGTCTGCAGGGAGTCCCGTTCTGGTCACCTCGTACCAGGCCACAGTGGATGTGGCTCTAGCTGGAGGATCCAGGGCACCTTCTGAGGTTCAGATCCCTCAGCAGGTCTTATGCTTCAAGGCTATGTCTACACTGGCATGATTTTCCGGAAATGCTTTTAACGGAAAAGTTTTCCATTAAAAGCATTTTCGGAAAAGCACGTCTAGATTGGCAGGATGCTTTTCCGCAAAAGCACTTTTTGTGGAAAAGCGTCCGTGGCCAATCTAGATGCGGTTTTCCACAAAAAAACCCCTATCGCCATTTTCACAATCGGGGCTTTTTTTCGGAAAACAGTACTATGCTGTCTACACTGGCCCTTTTGCGCAAAAGTCTTTCAGAAAAAGACTTTTGCCCGAACGGGAGCAGCATAGTTTTTCCGGAAAAGCACTGATGATTTTACATGAGATCGTCAGTGCTTTTCCGGAAATTCAAGCGGCCAGTGTAGACAGCTGGCAAGTTTTTCCGCAAAATCATCTGATTTTGCGGAAAAACTTTCCAGTCTAGACACAGCCCAACTGTTTACCGAGTGTGTGCAAGCTGGTCCAATGCCATTCTCAATGTTCCCAAGGGACCGAGAGCCGAGGTCACGTTATTTATCCCATGCGAAGTTCTCAGCTAACAAGCAACGGGAGTGTAGGCTGGTGACGACCATCTGATAAGGAACACTTAATTTTCTTGCTAGCTGTCCTCAAGGCTGTCCTACAGGAGCACAAATTTAACCCGAAGGCCCACCTATGGTTCACACTACACCTAGCTCTTAGTATTTAGGAGGAGTTCTTGATCAAATGCACTCATAGACAGACACACAGACAGACACAAACCTCTAACATGTATATAGATACAGATTAATAAGATTTTTAATCACATTTGACACTATTTCACTTGACTTGAACAATGACATTAATTGGATGTTGCATTAGAAAGCCAGTTTTCCTGCATTTAACACCTCAAAGCTAAGTATGGGACACTTCCAGCCCACTTAATTAGCCTCATTAGCTCCTGTCCTACAACTGACAGATTCCCTTTTGTTTTTCTCTTATAAAATACTTGGTTTCTGTTATTTCTCTCCAGCTCATCATCTGAGGAAGTGGGTTTTGTCCCTGAAAGCTCATGACACTCTATATTTATTTCTGTTAGTCTCTAAGGTGCCACAGGCCTACTCACTGTGATCATTTTTTGGTATCATTCATTTTGATAACTCTGGATATTTTTACTCTTCATATAAACTTCCTACCCCATTTTGAATTTTACTAACTTCTTGGCCCCACCAATTTCTTGAGGCAACGAGTTCCACAGCCTAATCACATGCTCTGTAAAACTATTTCCTTTTATATTACTCAGCTTGGTCCAATGTACTATTTGGTCCAGCTCACTCTTTAGATCTGATTGGAGCTTATCATTATCATCATTCTACCAAAGTATCAATCTGTGTCATATGGAAACCTCAATAGCAATAATTTAATGTTTTCTTCCATGTAGTCTTTGATCCTGTTTTTCTTGGAGACTGTGTGGATGACTGGAGAAACAGTCACATTGTGGCATCACAAGACAGCCACAGAAGTGTAACCTAGTTGATTGCAAGGTAAAGAGAGATTTATTCAAAGTTGTTTTGGAGGCCACTTACTTAACTCAAATGTCCACAAATACTTGGGAGAAAAACTTTCTTTGCTAACAATCAATATGCCCCTTCCCTTCAATTAAAGGCAGAGAAAGCTTCAACTATATTTCTATTGAGCTTCAACATGTTTACCCATAAAAACTGGGGAAGGGTGGACCTGACAAGATATAAAACCATGCTCGTATTAAAGTCAGTCGCTAAGCTCATAATCATGTTTGGTATTTCTTGAGGCAGACACAGAGGTGTGGCCAAAACCAGCCATACGCTCACTTACACAGACATAACATAGATTTCCACAATCCTACCTTTGATCTGCAGCCTACCCCAATGCGAATCCACAGAGACCCCAAGGACAGCAGTGGGGTCAAGGCTGGATTTTGATCTGGTGTAAGTGGGGTCAGGCTGAGGCCCACTGAAACGCTACATCCCCTTCAGCCCTGGTTTATCGCAGCTCTAAAAATTCCTGCCCTTACCCTCCTTAAGCTTTTGAGTGACACGGTTTAGTTCCTCAGCTATTTTCTTTATTGCTTCTTTATCAGAGAACCCCAAGCCCCCCGGTCCTCCCTTTCCCACTGCTGACAGCACTAACTGATTAATCTCCTCCAAAATTGTGACCACAAATTCATAGTCTGAGGGATCATCGATGTATGATTCCAGTGTGTCGACCTTCTCTGTCAGCATTCTCACAATCAGCACATCTTTTTCCAGCTCGTCCTTCTTTAACTGCCATTCTTTTAAGCAATTTCCTAGTTCATCGCTGGCCTCTTTAATTTTCTGCTGTCCGGCCATGATGTCTCCAATCTTCTCTTCGATTTCTGCCTTCTCTTTGTCACACACATAGCGTTCCTTTTCATAGTCAGAGACCTTCACTTGGTACTGGTCGATAGCTTTCTGCAGCTCCAGGATGGCTTTCTGTGCAACCCACATAGAGACCTGACAGATGATGGTCACGATGCTAGCTGCGAGGGAAAGTGGCTGCGTATCGGTCAGTTGGAGGGCTTCTTGAAGGAATTTCATCGAAACTATTTGGAAAAAGAAAAATGGGGGGATTGCAAATATTTTAAAAAATTACCCAACATTCTGATGGCTCTATTTTATTGTACTTGATTGTATTTGGTTAATAAAACAACAGAAACCAAATGCACCAGACAAAAAACCCTCAGAAATAGCATTTGTGTTGCCAGATGGAATTTATAGTTTTGTTGACTTACAAGCTTTTTTTCTCCCCGGACCAGGTTCCTCGACCAGACTACATCTCCCATGGTGCACCATCTCCCCACATCAAGAGAGAAGCATGTGATGGATGATGGGAGATGTAGTTTGACCAAGGCCTATACTGGAGAACGGGTGCATGAGGCAGATGTACTACAACACCAGTGAAGCACCTGTCCAGTCTTTCCAAATCGAAACCTTTCCATTGTCAGCAATTGATCATTTTGATAAAACATTTAGGGTGTGTCTAGACTGGCAAGATTTTGCGCAAAAGCAAAAAACTTGCCAACTGTCTACACTGGCCACTTGAATTTGTGCAAGAGCACTGACTTCGTAATGTACAAAATCAGTGCTTCTTGCGCAAATACTTTCACGCTCTCGCTCAGGGATAAGCCCTCTTGCGCTAGAATACTTGCGCAAGAGGGCCAGTGTAGACAGCACCTTAATTTTTTGCGCAAGAAAGCCCGATGGCTAAAATGGTCATCGGCACTTTCTTGCGCAAAAGCACGTCTAGATTGGCACAGATGCATTTGCGCAAAAGTATCCTTGCCGATCTAGACGCTCTTTTGCGGAAACACTTTTAACGGAAAAACTTTTCCATTAAAAGTATTTCCGCAAAATCATGCCAGTCGAAACGTAGCCTTAAAGTTTTCATGTAAACTTCTCATAGAAACAAATGAGAGGGGGGCAGGAACCTAGTCACAGCTGTTATACTCCTGGTCGACAGAACTGGGCTTTTTGCCTCATGCTCCACAGGCATCCAAAGACCCCAGGTTTGATCCTGTGTTGAAAGCCGATTCCTTCTGGGCACACCCCACTGCCCCCACCCCTGAGCAAAGCCAACCTGGGCAGGGGCAGGGTGAGCTGCTCCCACCAGTGTCTCCTGCTGGCTTGCAGGCTGCCCCGGGACACACTGCACCCCTGTGCTCACCCTAGTGTAACAATCAGTGCAAGCCCTGTGAGGTATCCGTTTGAGTCGCAGGCCGGTACTGTCCTGGGGCAATTCATGTGGCAATGTAGGCGAAGGTGCAAGATTCCACTGGATATGTTACCAGAGGCTGAACCAGTTCCTCAGAGTGATGCCTCAGGCAGGTGTAAACACGGCCAATGGGCCATAACCTGCATGTGACCCCCCCCTTTTGGGGGAGGTTAGCCCTTCCCCCTTTTGCCTCAGGTCTGCCACCGCTGCCCAGGCTGCCAGCTCACTCCCCACAGCTGCAACAACCACCCTGGGCTGCTGGGCAGCCCGCCCCCAGCCATTCCCCGCTC